GCAGGGCACCATATGGCCCCAGGTGTAAATACTAGGCAGACACAACGATGTTCTGCAATTTCTCTGCTTTACTCACAGATCACAGACTGCATCCATAATTGCATGAACTTATGAATGTTTCGTTTGGGTCACAATATTTTTTAAATGGAGTTTGTTGCCTACATGTAAATATGAGCAATTTCACTTCTGGTTTCTCTTTTAAAAGCAGAAATGCCAGAAAACAGCAGGTCCTGCATGGAGAGTGTTTAAGACCTTCCTGCAGCTTCCTAGGGCTTCCAGGATACCATTAAAGCACACGGATTAGAAAGGAAGAAATAAAATTGTCCCTTTGTGCAGATGACATGATTGTGTAGAAAATCTCAGGGAATCTACAAAACAAAACAAAACAAAACCCAACTGCCAGAACTAAAAAATGAGTTTAACAAGTCACAGGATAAAAGATCAATACACATATACACATACATACACACATAAACATACACACATACACGTACACACACACACACGCACAGTCCTATTTCTATACTAGCAAGGAGCATGTAGAAACTGAATTGAAACACACAGTGCTATTCACAGCTGCTGGACAAGAAGAAGAAACACCTGGTATAAATCTAACAGAACATGTGCAGCATCCATATACTAAAATTTACAAAACTCGGGTGACCGAAGCCAGGGAATATTTAAATAAATTGTGAGAGGTACCACATTATCAATACAGGAAAGATGTCAATTATCCCAATACGATCTATAAGTTTAAAACGATTCCTATCAAAATCCCAGCAAGACTGTTTTGGTAGATAAAGACAAGCTTACACTAAAATTTATATGGAAAGGTAAAGAAACTAGAATACTTAAAAATAAGTTTGAGAAAGAATAAAGTACATCATAAGCTTGTCTCTTGCCCAGCATTGTGTTTCCTACATCGCCCTGTGTGTGTTTTATCATATGGTCCATATGTGCTTCTTTGGTTGAATTTCTCCTTCTGCGGAGTCCTGGGCCAGTACCAGTTCTCCTCAAGGGGCCACGAGGGGCCCTGCCCTAGCAGAAGTCATGCCGGGACTTGGGTTCCGAGCGTGGCCGCCCGCCGGGCAAACACAGCACTCAGGAGCTTGGAGTGTTTTCTGGAAACTGGCATCACAAGGTCAAGGAAGGCTTCACGTGGTGGAGACGAGAGGGCTGGTCTAGACACGAGGAGATGAGTGGAGTCGGTGTCGCATGCTTGTGACAGACTGTACAGCCCTGCACACTTCCAGAAGGCCCTGCACACTTCCAGAAGGCTCTGCACACTTCCAGAAGGCCCTGCACATTTCCGGAAGGAGCCATTTACAAGCACGAAACCAACTGAGTCCTTTCCGGGGGCATGCGTCAGCACCTCGCCCTCCGTGGGCTTTCATGTCCTACACTGACCTGCCTCCCGTGTGGATGCCCTTCTCACCCCTTCTTGGGTTCTGCCACCCCAGCCTGGGCTGAGCCTCGGTGTGGAGGACTTCCTCACCCACTCAGACCCGACCCCCGTGCCCAGGGGTCCCTCAAGGGGACGCCCTCCGCACGTTAGACACGAACCCCCCACATTACCATCTTACTTTTAACAACAAATTTAAACTTTCTATTGACTTTGTGCCTTAAAAGATGAAGATTTTGCATCTCACTCTGTCCTCCCTCCTCTTCCCAGCGCTGATTTTCTCAGCATACTGTTCCTTGCACCTGTGATATTTATACTCTCTTCTGTAATATTTCCCACCACTGCTTAGGGGTTTTTCTCTTTTTAAATATATTCATTGCGGACCACAAATTCCCTTTTTTCACTATTTAACTCATCCCTTTAATGGCAAAATTTCATCATAATGTAGATTTTCTATTTTTAAAGGGCTCGTGGGTGCTGTATTTCATAAGGCCTTGCACGCATGAGACTGTTTCTTGTCCAAATATTTCTGGAATATTCTCTCATTTTCTCAGAGCACGTAAATTTTCCTTCACTGTTTTCTGGGATGCAGTGTGGTTATCACATCTGAGGCTAGCCTATTTGTGTCACACACAACAAGCTCCTTCTGGTATGATCTAATTGGATCACCGTTTTTGATATCAGCCCATATGATTCTGATTTATCTTCCAGGTTCTGTAACTTTATAATATTCTGGGTGTGGATCACTTGTATAGTCCTTTCCTGGTGCACAGTGTGGGTTCTCAATTACAGCCTGAAAGATCTCTTCATTTCCAGTTAGTTTCTAATTCAATTCAATTGTTTACTTTTGGCTTCTGTCTTCTCCTCCAAGAAAATAGCCAGTGTACATTTGTGGCATCACCTCTCGGTCTCCTGTACCTACATCTGCCTCTCCACACTTTCTGTATTGTGTTCACTTAAATGTCCCTTCATGAAATTTCCAAAAGAAACCACATCTGTAAATTTGCCGGCACATTGATCATTGTGTTTTGTCCTTCCTCCCCCTCATTGTTTCTTCCCGGCAACCTTGTGTCTTTCTCTTGCACTCCGTCTCTTTCCCAAGGTCTGCCTGCTTGCTTTTCATCACCCTATTTGGTACTGCAAACTTTTACACTTCTAGATTCATTCCGTTCTCTATCATTTCCTTGACTGAATATAGCTGTTTATATGAGCAATATTTTCTGTGGTTTTTTGGGCATTTCCTATCCTGATGTATGCTCTTTATTAGCTTTGTGCTGGTATTCTTTTCTTTTCTTTTCACCTATAAGCTCTTGAAGGTGCTACTCCCCTTTTGAGTAAAAGTTGGTATTTGCCAAATAGCAACTTTTTTTGGCAAAGACGAGTGTGGGGAGGGAGGTGGCTGGGAGGGTCTGCAAGCTGGAGCAGGTGGTGGCCTGGAACCTCCCCCCACCCTCAGGGCAGGTGTCCTGTTGGTTCTCAGCCCACCCAGCATCACCTACCTGGTGGCTCTCTGCTTGCTGCCTATCGCTACTCCTCCCCGCTCTCCTTCACCCCCATCCCCTTCAGCATTCTCCTCTACCTGGGGGCCCAGGTCACGTGCAGTCAACATGCCAAGTCTACCCATCAGAGTGTAAAGACAAAAAATTGACAACACCCAATGTTGGGGATGGGGGCTGACCATTTATTAACACATTCAGACAAGGGTAGAAATGTTTACAATCTTTTTGAAAATATCCACCAAAATGGAAAAAATACACCCACCAGTAACACGTATTTTTATAGGAATGTTCACTGCAGATATATCCATAACTGTGTATCAAGCCACAGATGCAGGGAGATTTGTTACACAATTTCATGTAGTTGCCAAAACCCAAAACGATGGAAATGCCCATCAGGAGTGAAAAAAAATTAAACAAATCATGATATGTAGATATCATGGAATACAGTGAAACCATTAAAAACAAAAATCTATAGATACTAATATGGAATGATTTTCAAAATACATTCAGTGAAAATAGGCAAACTGCAGAACAATATGTGATATTTTACTTTGAGGGAGGGAAAAATAAATACACATATATATGGTTTAGATGCATAGAATTTCTCCAAAGGATATATACACACACAGAACACTGGTACAGTCCTTACCTTTGGGTAGGGGTCTGGGGCAGAAGACAGAACACACTTCATTACTCCATAATTTGTGCACTTGTAAAATTTCCTTTTCTAAAAATCCATAAATAAATGCAAAAGTTGGCATACCTCCTCAGTTTTTCACTATCTCCCTCTTGCTGAGGAGATGGCAAGTGGCGCATGAGGGAAGAGTGCTTCCCTGGGTCACTGGTCGGGTTAACTTGGACCCACGGTCAGCTCCGGTCTCCTAATCCCACACCGGGACGTGTCTGCATCCACTTGCCTGAGTTCCTCCTTAGTGTACGTAGAAGCTGGAACTGGCTACTGAATTAAGAATATGCATATCACAACTGAATTAAGAATATGCACAAGCCACCCACATGGGTGGGCAGGGAACTCCCTCAACAGCCAAGCTCCCACTTTGGCGACATGAAACACCCAGGGTCGTTTTCATGGAAGGCACGGTTTCAATATACCCACACAAAGGAAGGAGAGTCACAAAGTTTATTGCTTACAGCTGTAGGGGAGAGGCACCCAGTGAGCCTGGGAAGGGCAGTCCTCCATCCCAGACCACAAGCGAGCCGGAGACTGAGAGCAGGGTGGCAGGTCCTGTTACTTAAAAGTTGGTCGGGAAAGAGGTCACTGATTTTTCATGGGCTCAACTCCAAGTGGTTTTTTTAAAAGGCACCCCAGGAAAAGCAAATCAGGAACTCATGGAGGAATTCTAAGCTTGGGGGCCTCATCTAAATTCTAGATTTCAGGTGTGAGCAGGGTTTCATACTATAAAATGCCTGAGCAGCAACTCATCAAAACAACAGCTGCTTGCTCTCAAAAGTTGTTTTACTCGCCCCAAATGGTCATGGAGAATGTGTGCTTTTTCTGATTGATGGACAGCCGGTTGTTCTTCAACTCCGATCCAGTGGTTTGAACAAGGATGGTGCAGCTATTCAAATCAGCATCCGGACACCATGACTTCACGTAGGTCTCCCACCCTGGGCCATAGTGACACTGTACGGTGGCTTGCAGATGGAAGGAGATGGAAGGAAATAATGAAGAAAAGAAAAAGTTTATGAATTAGAAAGGAAATATAAAATAGAGAAGACTAAAAAAGGCAACAATTACTTTTTAAACAAAACAAAACCCTTGCAAGATATTCATGGTAAAATGATAGGTCTGAATAACTGATACGAGGAATGAAAAAAAGGTACATCGCACAATATCCTGAGCATATTAAAAAGGAGAGGGAGTAAGGGGGCAAGATAATAAAAGGATATCTAAAAAAGTTCATGCCGGTAAATTCAAAACTTTAGGTGGAATAAACAACTTTCTAGCAAAAATGATAAAATATGCTAAAATTAGCACAAAAGGAGTTAGACAACTTGAATCATCTTGCAACTATTTGAAAGAATCAAATCCATTATTAAAAGTCTCTAGAAGGGGCACCCGGCTGCCTCAGTCAACAGAGTGGGACTCTTGATCTCAAGGTCGGGAGTTCAGCCCCACCTGGGTATAGAGCTTACTGACTTGATTAACTAATTAGTTGAACCGTCTCCAGAAGGAACCTCCAAACCTATAGAGCTTCAACTGACCTATCTGATAACATTTAAGGAATAATATGTGTCTTACACAGAAAATTCCAGGACATAGGAAAAGACGATACAATCTCAAATCCATTTAATGAGCCTAGCATACTTTTGATGCCAAAACCTGACAAGGGCACTGCAAAAAATAACGTTGTAAGCAAAAAAATCACTCTTCAACATAAATGCAAAAGTCTGCAACAAAAATACAGCAGGTTCTATATAAACAAGATAATACATCATCACCAAGTTGGGTTTTTCCCAAGAAGGCAAAATTGTTTGAACATGAGAAAATCAGTTAAGCATAATATACCACATTAACAGAGTCAAGGAGAAAAATCATATGATCATGTCATAGATGCAGACAAAAGTATTTGATAGATTTAAAGAGCCCTTTGACTGGGGAGGCCTTTTCAGACCTCACGAATCAACCACAGCAACCGCACGGTGCTGGGCCTCTTCCCTCTCAGCCTGGGTATGGAACAGGGCGTGGGAATAGCCGCTATGAAGTCCCGGCCCCAAACGCCAGAATGAGCAAGGACACGTGGGCACCAGAGGTCCAGGAAAGCATTGGCAGGAATTGGGGTCTCTGGGTCCCAGGGAAGAAGGTCCTTTGGTCCACGGATGAAACTGGGACCATCACCTTGATCTCTATGGACAATAGACTCAGGCACTGTGCTGTGCAGAGAAACAGGTGCCCAGAGAGGCTTGATCCCATCCTGGAGGAGGTGCTGGGAGCCATGAGAGCATCTAAGAGAAGCCCTGTCCCTCCCAACTCATGGGGTCAGTTGGGGTCCTAGAAGAACTCAGGACTCAAACCCCTGTGTGACAGTTCACTCCAAGTGACCTTAAGTCACTGGAGAGGAACCTCAGGGACCAGGACAGAGAAGACCCTGAAGAGACACATCCACACCCACACATACTCTTACCTGGGTCAATGGTCACTTTAACTTCGACCCCAAGGTCAGTTCCAGATCTCTCAATCCCACACCAGTAAGTGTCTGCATCGTTCCACCTGAGCTCCTCCATGGTCACGGTGAACGTGTGCAATGTCTGATTGTCCTTGATGGACACATGGTGACCCTTCGCTTCCTGCTCTGATCCATCGGTTTGAACGAGGATATGGCAGTTTTTCCACTCGGCTCCTTGACACCACCATTTACTGTAGGTCTCCCACCCGGGTCCATAGCGACACTGCACGGTCAGGGAGCCCCGCACTGGGCCACTCACTGCATTGGACACTGCTTTGAGGACAGATGAGCCTGAAAACACAAAGCCATGTGCTTGTCACACCCCACCCCACGCCCTGAGGGCAGAGCCACAAACTCCTGCATCACAAATAGCTCCTATAAACTCAAGAGCCTGATGAGTTGAGTAACAAAGAGGGAATACATCTTCCACAAGACAGACCTTTGTCCTTCAAAACTCCACTGGGTCAAAGCCACCACAGAAATCACCTAAGAGCACAACTACACATCTCAGAGAAACAAAAATGTCCACACTGAGCAGTGACAGCTTCCGATAATCCACTCCTCCCCCTCCCTGTGGTCAATGTCATCTGGAGAGCAAATGACCCAACGGAAGCTTGGCCCCAGTCCACTTCAGCCCATTGTCCTCATGCAAAATGTGGGCTCTGGGGCTTCAGATCTTTTCATTTTTCTAGAGTAGCCAGGAATCTAGATTTTGTGTGGAACCTCTCAACTTGAAAACACTGGTGACCAGCACATAAACAGAGCAAAGGAATTTCTGTGTCTTTAAATAATTTTTTATTGTTATGTTAATCACCATACATTACAGCATTAGTTTTTGATGTAATGTTCCATGATACATTGTTTGTGCATAACACCCAGTGCTCCACGCAGAATGTGCCCTCTTTAATACCCATCACCAGGCTAACCCATCCCCCCACCCCTCTAGAACCCTCAGTTTGTTTTTCAGAGTCCATCGTCTCTCATGGTTCGTCTCCCCCTCCGACTTACTCCCCTTCATTCTTCCCCTCCTGCTATCTTCTTCTTCTTCTTCTTCCTCTTCTTTCTTAACATATGTTGCATTATTTGTTTCAGAAGTACAGATCCGTGATTCATCAGTCTTGCACAATCACAGCGCTCACCATAGCACATACCCTCCCCGATGTCTATCACCCAGCCACCCCATCCCTCCCCCCCCCACCACTCCAGCAACCCTCAGTTTGTTTCCTGAGATTAAGAATTCCTCATATCAGTGAGGTCATATGATACATGTCTTTCTCTGACTGACTTATTTAATTTCTGTGTCTTTAGAATCCTAAGAATTATCTACAAAACTATCTGGCAAGTTCATTAATGGGATAATTTCTTGATGACATGAAATTGTTTTCCCCTGAATATTGACGATTTGAGTTCTTTGATGGTTCTTGAATCTGTTCTATTGTTTTGGTTCTTTTTCCCAGATAGTTTATCTATTTCATAGAGTATGTATTAGCATAAAGTCCTACATTTAGAAAGTATCCTTTATAATTAAAATGTTCGTATCTGTTTTAATTACACGTTCTGACCACATGTGCTGTGTGATTTGTGTGGCTTACACCTGCTACAGGATGTCCTCCTCGTTTCTCCTCCCCTCCTGCACGTTTTTTACACAATAAACCAGTTTTGAGATTAGTTGGTAAGTGTTGTTGTTTTTATTTCCTACGTTATTTGTTTCTCATATGTATAATTTTATTCCTCTTCATTCCTCCAGATTACCACTTGTGCTCTTTTTCCAATTTGCTAAGTTAAAGACAGGGATAATTTTCTTCCTTTTGAAGATGAATTAAAGCATGTGAAAGGCAAAGAATTTACTTTGGTTGACTTTACAAATTGAGATATAATTCACTTATCATGAATTTCAAGTGTATACACCAGTGGTTTCTAGGGTATTCACGTGGTGCCCACGTGAATTCCAGAAAATTCGGTCACTGCAGAAAGAAACCCTGTACCCCTTGTCATTCCCCACGTCCCTCTTCCCTGAAGCCTTTGGCAACCACTAATCTACGTTCTGTCTATTGATTTCTCTATTCTGGACACTGCATATAAACAGAATCTTACAATCATAGCCTTCTTGTCTGGCTTCAGCCACTGAGCATAATGTGTGTTTAGGCTCAGTCCATGGTAGGGAAGGACACATTTAGCTTATCCATTCATCAGCTGATGATATATGGGTTGTTTCAACAATTTGCCCCAGTGAATAATGTTGCTATGAGCAGTTATGTACTAGTGTCTGTATTGATTGATGGTGAGGGAAGCTGACACTGTGTTCACAACAGAAGTTCCAGGATGGGTTCTCTCAAGAGTCCATAAGAAGCCGCTGTGATTCTGAGAAACTCCCACCAATTATCTTCAACCTCTACCAGCAGAGTAAGGGTTCCCAAGAGCGAGACAGGAAGCCACCCTGAATCTCTCATCGGACCATGCACGCTTCAGCTGCCCCCAGAGGGTAAGGCTGCTCTCCCACCTTCTAAATCTCTGGCAGGTGCTTCCATGGACAAACTCCAGCCCATAGAAGGAAGGTGACTGGAGGAAAGGTGATTCCCAGGTTTTGCTCAGTGATGCAGAAGAGGACGTAGAAGGGGTGCAAGTGATGTCAAACGTCAACAGATGAGCCTGTGCTGTTCGCCCCTTGATCAATCTGCCCCATATTGTCGAGGACTGAATGTTTGTGTTACCCCACAATTCCCGTGTCGAAGTCCTAAGCTCCAATGGGATGGTACGTGAAGATGGGGCCTTTGGGAAGGCATTAGGGTTAGAGGAGATCGTGATGGGGACCTCAGGATGGGATCAGTGCTCTCATAAGAAAAGACACCAGAGAGCTTCTCTCTCATTCTCTCTCTCTGTCTCTATCTCTGTCTCTGTCTCTGTCTCTCACTCTCTCTGCCTCTCCTTGCCTATGCACAAAGTGGAGGTCACCGTGAGAAGGTGGCTGCCTGAAAACCAGAAAGAGAGCTTTCATCATGAACTGAATCTGCCTGCACCTTGATCTTGGACTCCCCAGCCTTCAAACTGTGAGAAAAGAAATTTCCCTAGGTCAAGCCACTCAGTCTATGGTAGTTGGCTCTTATGACTCACATGCATATGTAACTCTTTTATGAACTTCCCAGTTAAGAAAATAATAACATGCAAGTGTTCCCAGTAAGTGTTGTACATGCAAATCTCCCCATCAGAGTGTTTTACTTCTACACATATCATGAAGAAGTCAGTGGATGAGTAAGTGGGGTCATTTTATTTCCCATGATGACCTCCTTCCCAGAAGAGACACTGTCTGCATCCTGCCCCAAGCTACACGATTCTAGAGGATGAGAAGGAACAGAGGTGGGGTTCAGATGTTCCTACCTTAGAGCTCCTGTCTTCTCTGAGCTTCAAGAAACAGCTGCCTCCAAGGATTTGACATCCAGCCCAGAAATAGACACCTTCTAATCTCTGTCTTTCCTCCCTCATGACACCACTCATTGTGTCTTGGTTGTTGCACTGACCAAACTGGACGATGTTCTGATTTTTGGCTCATCCAGAGCAGAGATTCAGGCAGGCTAATATGTGTGGTTGAGCAGCTCTCCCGAGAACCTGTCACACCCAGGTTTTGCTCCCTGTCTTCCTCTCTACTCTGAGCTCTTCAGAAGAGAGGGTCTCAACTGTAGCTGTAAGTCAAGACCACTGTGCAGGCTTTTAAATGATCCAGATGTCTCAACCCCATTTTGTCTCAGTGGGTCTCAGCTGGAGCCTGAGATTCTGGTTCCTTAAAAGTTCCTCAGGAATTGACATTATGTATGTTATGTATATATTTCTGCATGTATATATCTATCCATCCATCCATCCATCCATCATCCATCATCTGTCTATCCAGCTATATGCCAGGGATGGCAAACAGTGCCCTAAAAACAGGCACCATATTATTTATTTTTATTTTCTTTCCCCAACACCTAACTTAGAAGCTGTCAGGTAAAAACAAATTTTTTTTAATTTTTTAATGAGAAAAGGTCTGGATCAGTTAAAGGCCCTGCCATTTCCCCCAGGACAGAACCTGTCTGCTTTCTGCCCAGCTCTGCAGGTGCTCTGTCCTGAAGCACCCACCCCACTCACCTTGGACGATGGGAAGGAACAGAACCGAGAGCAGCCACATATCCTGCTGGGATCGTCTACCTGGTGCTCAGCTAATGCCCACCGTCCTCCAGGGACTGGAACTGAGCTCAGAGGCAAAATGCATTCTCTTTCTCTAAATCGTTCTTTTAGAGTTTCTCTCATCTACTTCCCTAATTTTTTTCTTCAGTTATTTCCTAATTTCAAAACTTAGGAGAAAGGGCGTGCCTTCCTTTAGGAGTCTGTGGCTGACATGAGTTGTCTCAATGATTTGCGGAAGCAAAGCGTCCCACTGCCCAGGGTGCCATTTACCCGGATGCAGGAGGAGCTGTGTCAGGCCCCTCCCTCTCAGGCTTCCCCCTGTGGTCCTGAGTCCGTCTGAGACAGAAGTGCCATGGGGAGATTTTAAGGAAGGAGAAGTGGCCTTTCCCATCAGCTTCATTGTGGCCTAGATGCTTCCTCTGCCACCTCTTGGTGTATTTCCCCTGACTGTGGACTAGGGCCACTTCCCAGTCCCAAACTGCTTCTGCTAATACCCTCCTAAGTGACTTTCCCGCAAGGGTCCCCTCATCCTTCACATGTCCTCTCCTCCCTCTGTCCTCTGTCCCCTTTCCATCTCCTCTCTGAGTCAATTCTTCTGTCTCCTTTTTTCTTTTATGTTTTCCACATTTCTGAGGTTAGATCTACCTCTTGGGAGGATTTGGTTTGTTTTTTTGTGTTTACTGTCTCTTCCAATCTTTGGATGAAAAGTTTAATGTAGGAATTATATTTTCATTTCAAAAGCTCCATTTTGTTCTCCGCTTGCTAATGTTTTCAGAACTCTCCTCACCATGTGGTTTGGTCCAGTCTGGTTTGGTCCTTCTCTTTTATATCCCACACATGCCTCAAGGGCTGATTGTGGTTGGTCCTCTGACCGTAATGGAGAATGAGCCATAACATAGCTGCTCGGGGCTCTGAGTATGTGGGGGCAACACAGCTTGTGAAACAGGGGTGTCGGATTGTACCAAGTTCTTTGAACTTCCATCCCTTCTTGAACTACAAGCTATGCTTTCACGAGAGTGGGCAGAGGGCTCTTCTAAATTCCAGAATGAAGAGGACCAAAGGTGGCCTCTAGCATCCTCCCTACTGCTTGGTTTCCCCAGATACTTTATGAAGCTAAAGAACCTCCTGGGGGATGGGAGTGTTTGTTTCTTGATCTAGGTGCTAGTTGCATGGGTGTGATTTATTTGTGCAAATGTATTGAGCTGTGCACTTCTGATGTGTGCTCTTTCTGTGTGTATTTGATACTCCAATAAAAAGGTTTTAAATTTTACCATGACTCTCTCCAAGCCATTACACCTGTGCTTACTTAATCCTTTAATTATCTTCCTTAACGGGGCCCCTCGGTGGCTCAGTCTGTTAATTGGCCGACTCTTGATTTAGGCTCAGGTCATGATCTCAAGGTCCTGGGGTGGATCAGGAGTCCAACTCTGATCTCAGTCCAGAGTCTCCTTGAGGATTCTCTCTCCCTTTCCCTCTGCCTCTCCTCCCCAGGTCTCTCTCGCTCCCTCTCTCTATCTCAAATAAATAAATATCTTTTAAAAAATAGCTTCCTTAATGGTCCTTTGTGTGGCTGTGGCATAATTAAGTATTCCTGTGTTGGTGGCCATTCACCATGTTTCCCATATTTGCTCTCACAAATCTATTCTGCAGGCTTCCAAATCAGGTGAAATGATGTCGTCACACTCCATGGACCTCTTCTCCTGACTCCAGGTAAGAACCCAGACAGAATACCTTCAGCAGCTATCTGAGCATTCCGCAAAATGAACTTTAGCAGGAGACTGAGGAAGGAAACCAGACCAGATATAACAGCACTGCAGCTGTTAGTTTCCTGGTTATGTTTCCTTCTCTAGCCTCCTGCCTGAGCATGAACCCTACGGCTCACAGCCTGAAAGTACTCACTCAGCAGGGACCCTAAGAGCTCAGGATGAGCAGAGAAAATAAGCCTAGGGAAGAGGGGAGGCAGATTCCAGGAATTTTCTTGCTGTTTATGTTTTCTTTCCCTCCCACCAGGTCTTCAGAAAGACTCAGGACAGAAGCGCAATTCCACGCAGCCGCTGGGGGCCGACAGCTGGAACTCAGAAGGAGGAGAGTCCTTGCTGCCCAGAAGGCTAGGGTCCCAGAACCTGGCGCGGAATACCACTGCCTCTTCTCTCTCTTTGTCCTCCCAATGCTTGGCCCTGGAAGCAAACCCCAAACACAGGAAGTCCGCAGCAGACTGGGACAGAAAAGCCTCAGCTTGCCCAGCTTCCCAGCCAATGGACCAGGAAGGGAGGTGGTGGAGGTTCTGGAAGGTGGGAGGGGATGTTGGGGGATGATGAAGAAGAAGAAGTCCCTGAAGAAAGGGACCCGAGACCTCCCAGGCTCGCGCCCCAGCTGTGCGCACCTGATCAGACCCTGGAGGCAATACCCACTTTGAGAGCTTGGAGAAGACCATCCCCAGGCACAGACTGGCCACTGGAGGGCGCACGTGGGGCACGTCCAAGCAGCACCTGCAAGGCTCCAGAAAGCTGAGCCAGCGCACGTGGGAACCACAGTCCACAGAAGCCACATCAGCACTTGAAGTCCTAACCTCACCCACCAGCTGGACTGCCTGCCATTAGAGAAACGGAAGTTATAGTTAAAGAGCATTCCGGCGAGGAGATAGCATTGCTTTGTATGTCTGTGGTGGTGGTTTCCTGAAATGGTGTGTGTGTTAAACACATGGAAGAGAACACCACCCCAAAACTGTACGGTATGTAAAATTTGAGAAGTAGTAAAAACGAGAGAAAAACTTTTCAAACTATGCACTTTAAGTGGGTGCAGTTTATTTTATCGAATTACACCCAGTAAAACTTGAGAAAGACAGGGTGGGAGGGAAAAGTTTGAGGGGAGGCCAATGTTCCTGCCCCCCACCCCTTCATAAATACCTGGCTTCATAAGTTCTTCATAAATGTAAGGCCCAGAGTTCATTGAGACCCCCCAATCGCAGAAGAAAGCTCAGCTCTCACACGTGAACACAGAGGTCTAGGACCAGAAGGCAGCCCCTTCCCCTTTCTCTTAACTCTAGATGACTTTTGTACCCCCATTATGCCTGACTACCATGTCTGTGTGGATTCCCCACACTTATGCTATTCAATTTGATTTTCTCCTGTTAATCTGTCTCATGTCAATTTGATTCTAGATCCAGCTAGAAGGACCTTGAATGGGACAGGAACTCAGTCTCCCCAAGAATGGGGTGGGATATTCTTGCTCCCTGACACTTGGCATAGTCTGCAGGATACTTTAACTAGCTGGACACTGCTCACCCCTGACACTGCTGCAGCTGAGACATCCTTGGGACATCTGACAGAGAGCTAGCAGTAGGTAAGATTTCTCACCATGTCAGACTCCTGGAATCGCTATCTGCACAGGTTGATGGAATGAGAATGATCAGAGTCCATTTTCTCTCTTTCTCAATTTAGATGAGCACGAGAAAATAGTGTGGAACTAGTTCCTTGGGCTTAGTGACTCTTTGGTTCAATTTGGTTGAGTTCTCTTTGATTACTGAAGCATTTCATCCTAGACATGGTCTCTGTTTTCCTTGGTCTATATCATGTATGTTGTTTATCATCTGTTGCTAAGGGACATCTTGGAAGCCAAAGCTGCAAAATTGAGGGACACAAGCAGATCACTTAAAACCTGTTAGTACGCTCGCCATCACCTCAAGAGGATTCCCGTGATAGGATGAGCTGGTCATGGAATGGGGTAGACGGACACTAATCACCCACCAGCCTCAAGAACCTCCATGCAACAAGGTACACTGTATACAACCCACAATCCCCAACCCCATGGCACATTCCTCCTTGGTGTTATTTAGCCTCCAAGAGACCCAAGGCTAGGATAAACCTGGTAAATTCTTCCTTTTGTTTTCTTCAATGTCCTAAGTGATTGGCTTTATGACCAGTGAAGATATTCTCTTTGGTCTCCACCATCCAGGGGGTGCACTCACTGAGGTAAACCTTGGTGGCCAGCCAAATAGACTGGGGTTCCAAGTCTCTATCTCTGTCAGGTTGTGCCAGTTCTCGGGGGTGTTTGTCATGAGAGGTTCCAGCCCATGAGAACCTTTGTGGTCTCAACCCTCATTGCTTGTTAGTGCTGGAAAGTCCCATTCCAGAAGCACCTATGTGATCTCACAGATTAGAGGTCTGTGAGGGGAGGTGTCTCACATTTTCATGGGAGACTGGAGACAGCATTTCCACTACACACCACCCTTACTAACTGTGCACTGAAGGCGTTTGCTTTCTTAGGGTAATTTGGGGAGTAAGCTTCTGGATCATGAAGGCTGCATCATCACTTATGCCCTCTCTGGACAACTCTTGTGTACTGAGTTCAGTCTCAAAAAGGCTTATTGGTTTGAGTTGCTGATAAGAGATACTCCTCATCAATGGCCAGATGATTGATCCTTAAATTGGCTACATTTTGAAAACAAATACATCTTATAAAGCAAGTAGTATCATGAGTATTCTTCAAGATAGAAGTTTGACTTTAAGACAAAAAAAATGTCCCCATGCAGTGTAAACAACTTTGTCTCTTCTTTGTTTGTCTTAGTTTCATCGAGTTTTTCACTGGCATTACAGTTGGTTCCTTTAACTTCTATTCACGACTCAGTACTCGTCACAATAAGTGGACTCTTCATGCCCTTCCCCTACCCCACATAGCCCCCACCCACCTCCCCTCTGAGAACCATCCCTTTGTTCTCTGGAGATGAGTCTGGTTTCTTGTTTGTCTCTCTTTTCTTTTTTTCCTTCATTTGTTGTGTTTCCCCTTCTTAAACTCTGGCCTCGTGTGCCTGTCTTAACTTCCCTTTCCCTACAAGTTTTAAAGAGCGCACTCTGGCCTGATCTCTAGGTTCAAAGTATCCAGGCTGCTCCTATCCATGCTGAAAGCCAGAAAGTGAATTTCACAAAAGCACCGGGGACTGCCAACAAGGCTCGCTTTGCTGCTACCTTCTAGGGCTCTGTACTCAGGCCCTGCCAGCCTCAGG